GAATATAAATTTAACTTTCCTGGTAAAACACATACATATAGTTATATGTTAAAAATATGATTCACAAGGAACGAGCGAAGGATTCTGAAGTTATTTTTTTCTACCTGGTACAAATTCTGGTCTACTGTGGCTACTAAGTAGACATATAGAAGAATCACGCGTTCAACAAAAATAAAACCTAAATGTTCTACATATCTATACCTACACTACAATTACCGTTATGAAGTTCTATTATCGAATCTGAATTAATCGGTAATCACTTTTATCTTTCATCTTTTTGTACAATAGAGGACAGACGAGGCTTGCATGATGCTAGGTGAAATATCGCAGCAAGACCTGTTTTTGCTTTGGATCCTCAAACGCTTCATTTTACGCTACATTTTTCTCCGCTTCGCTTATAACTTTAAACTAACTGTTAATGCCTTAGCGTTTGCTTGAAGACTTCGCCGTTTTGCGGTTTTTATATTTTGTTGATTGACGTGTCCTCGCACCGCATGCGGCGTTTACGGTACGTTTCTTACGATATTGCATACAAGCCCCTGTGACTTCGCTTTGTGTTGTTGTTTAATAGAATGACTAAGACACTTCGTTTTATAGTGCGATATTTGAATCCCGGGGAAAAATTAACCTTAGGACTTAAAAATATCTGTGAAATAGATACATCAATGTATTGATCCCGACGTAGTAAGGAAGAGGGTTTTTAACAGAAAGAACCCTTAAATCTAGAAGCTTACTTTGTAAGTAAATTTTTATAATAGATGTTTTTTATATTCTACTGTTTTCTTAGTATTTTGTAATACATGGACAGTATACCTCAGATTTATTTTTGGCTATTAATTAGGTCACAGTTTATCTGATTGATGATCTTGAATAACAACAAAAGTGTCATCATATCACTGAAATAAATAAAGAAATGTCTGTATCAAACCTGCGCAGGAAATCGTGTTATGTATATACTATATAATATGTATATCTAACTTATGATCTGACACATTCTGTATAAAGATCAATATATTGCGATCAAATATAGCTCGGTTAATAAACTGTTAAATCATAAATAATAACTCAGCCTATTGAATTCAATCTTAACCGCAATCTGGGACGGAATGACAGGCGTTTCAATTGTGCTTCGACGAAAAAAATCATTGTATGTATTATTTTAACATTATAACAAATAAGGGAAAGTAAAAATTGATTGATGTAATGTCCGAACGCCCATAGTCAGAATAGATAACACATTTGAGAGATGTTAAGCCCAAAATTGGGCTGTCTATTAACAATCTAAATATTCATCAGAAGTTTCTCTAAATTAAATAGTGCGCTACCAGTACCTTTGTAGAGGTATACCTTAATCAACCACGCTGGGCAAACTAATGTAAAAAAAAACACATGACGAATTCAAAATAAAACACGGTAACGGTTTAAAACTACTACAAAGTATCCGAAATGTCGGGCTGTAAATAAAATTACTACAAATACCTAATATGTACATGTCGTATTTTAAACCGTTAAAAGTGTCTAATTTAAATGTGTACTACTCGCGTAAACTACAGACAGAACTTAATTATAACTTTTCGGGCATTGACCTCCTGAAGAAACGAAGAAAAGTTGCAAAAATAATAGTATTTGTTTTAAATTAGTAAAAGATTTTTTTGCCTATACTGTAACACTGAAACTGCTTTAAGAAAATATATAAAATTATCTCCTTATTAAAAAAAGCGAAATTAATTACATTTGTAAAGCATTATTTTGAACCAAAAATACAATGTTGCCAGTCTCCATACCGAAAATAGAATACACAACATATTTTAACATTTTTTCGCCTAATTCTTGTCTAGAATTGAAACATACTGCCATAAACTGTGATTTATTAAAGGCAATATTGAAATAAATGTCTTTTAATTAAAGATATCGGCCCTAAATAGATATTCAAGGCTCTAAAACGACTTCATTATGTGGGAAAAACGGTAATTATCTGGAAAAAGAATATTTGCACCGAAATGCGAATAAAACGTGTATTTTCATACCTGTAAATTAAAAAGTAAAACAGTAACAATGTATTAATAACAAATCAATAACAATTGTGTTACCAAAACAAGATACATTGTTTTTAAAAAACTTTAACGGTTTAAAGCGCGATATATTTTGGTTAAACTTGATTGAACATTATTTGACTACGGCCCAACGTTTCGAAAGCTTTTAGCAGCCTTTGCAACAGCCAACTCGAACCCGTGGTCACGGGGAGAATCTCCCCACCACGTTCAAGTTCGTGATCAAATTTATTACGTGTTTTATTTAAATGTGTACAACTTGCGTAAACTACAGGCAGTATTTAAGATAGCAAGTTACTTCGCAAGTTTTGCATATTTTATTTCACCAATCTAATCTTAGACACATCATTCTTTGTAACACTTCAAACGGTACGTAAATCGAATTAAGAACTATTTAAAAAACATTAGCAAAACAATATATGTATTCTTAAATAGATAATGATTTTATATGTAGCCAATTCTGTATGTTTGGTAACTTAATAATATTATAAACGCCAAAGCTTATAACTTACATACATGTATATATTAATGTATGTCCCTGCCCGCATTTGTTATGCCTCTGTGTCTTAACCTAGCATACTATAAGCGCTAGATGTCCTGGATTCTAATACCGCTACATCGATAAAATTTTACTTTGTGTTGTGAATTGTTGAAATGTGTTCCCCCCTACGGTCTACTGGGGGTGATTTTGATCTACTGCACGTTTGGTAATCTTTAAAACTTCTAAAGTTTTAATTCCTGGCAATGACATAAACTTTTTATCCCGGAAATGTGTAAAAATGGTAAAAATGATATTACCGACCCTTGTCTGACTAGACAGACATATTAATAAAACTACCGTAGACTGCGGGGCACATTTACAAGGCACTAGATACATTTGTTTATAATATCCTTAACATATTATGGTGTTCTTGGTGGTTATTTAAAGGAATTAAAATTTTGTGATTCAGTTTTGAACTAATTTTAAACTATTATATTATTCCTACCTCAGCACCCTTCTACCTTAGGTATAGTAACATAATATTACTTTATCAATGAGCAACTAGGTCAAGATAGACAACTAGTGGATATAATACGATTGGTCAGTGTACAACCAATCATGTGTCACGGTGATCTATTTGAATTAATTACAACACTTTCAAATAGTTTGTACAATGTTAATATCTTAATCCCTTTTCGTTTGAATTATTTGGCATTCGAGTGACAACAGTACAGCATATGCTGGCAATTCTATTGATGTACTGGTTATCAGCTTGCTCTATTCATACATCATATACGAATATCAAACTTAAGTAAGTTTTAGGGGATGGAAAAACAAAGTAATAATGCACTAGTTCGATTTTCAAATTAAGTAGTTGAGGTGACCTCCCATTTCCCCCCCTGACTGAACGAATACTTCTATTATAGTATTCATTCAGTCAGAAGAAGCCTAAATAGAACGCTGAAAGGTAGACAAACAAAAATGATAGTAACTAATATTATGCTAAAATGATAACTTTTAGAAAGGTTACAGGTAGAATTGATAAACCTTCTGTAAAATCGAGATATTAGTGAAAGTTACACAAAATATAATAGATTCGTCATTATGTGTAATTTCAATAAATGATAATGACGTGTCGATTAATACATGTAAAAGAATAGTATGAAACAGGACGATCTATACTGTGTAATATTATAAAATGCAGAAGAGTTTGTTTGTTTGAAAGTGCTAATATCTCAGGAACGAAAAAAATCGCGCTTTAACTAAAAGGAGCGAAGAAACAGCGGTAAATGTGAAAAAAAAAGAGAATATTATTCATCATTATGGGGTTTCGTTAGGCACGCCGCAAAAACGGTCAAGTTACCAAAAATATGTATGAAAGATAATTTCTCTTTGAGTGATCTAAATAAAACCGCGACACTATATTATGTCTATCTTTTAAGAAAAACTCAACCCAAACCCAAAATAACAGCTAGTTTGAAATATAGATGACAAGTGCCAATCAAATCAAAACAAGATCGTCAAAAAACAGTTGCATCATTCGCACTTTTAGTAACAGCTGCATTGATATGAATGATTAATGCCTATAGGATCTATCGATCATTTAATAATCGTTGATCTATAAATCATAGCTATCGTAGATCGGTGATCTTAATGTGTTGGGAAGTTGGCGGTCACCGATCGAATAACGTTTCACTTTTTTCATTAACATTTTTGATTTATGATTTTCAACAAGGATTAAGTAGTGAAAACCCGTTTTCTATACGCGGGACTTGAGGCTGACACATTGCTATGTAAGTTTCCTTTTTACTAACGGATGGGTAGTTGACAAAACTCCATTTATCTGCCAGGCTTAAATATTATATAATTTTTTCTCGTGATTCGAATCTTCTCACGCTTAAAGAAATGCTACGTGTCTAATCATTGTGCCAAAGAGGTTAGCTAGCCTACTCGAATAGGTATTTTCAGAAATATTATAAAGTCCTGTATGCTGTATGTCTATTACTAAGAAGCAGAGCCACATTTTGGGGAGTGCTACAGGGGCAACTGCTCTATGGCTTCCATAAAAGGTGGTATTACACAACATCACCACATATTTCGTTTTTCTCTTATAAAATTCAATTTCAGATTTATTTTTCAAATATTTTTTAAATGAGAAGAATCGCTTACTACTTTGGAATATATTTTGGAGTCCGGGGGCCTCTACCCTTCGTTGCCACAAATTTAAGTCCGCCCCCACTAACGGAATTCGCATTCGCAGCGCTTTGTAAGTAGGAACAAACTTAATCTCAGGATTAGTAGTCATGTAAAATTAATTTAATTATAAATGGTAATGCACTTTCTACATCAGTAAATACTAACATAGTAACTTATAAATTTAAATATAATTACATAACGAAATATAAAACGGCTATTTAAAAACATATTATGCATAATAAAATTTTGATCCAACCAATCTCATTTTAAAATCACATTATGGCTAAAAGACCGGTATTAAGAATGAATTCGTGGAATTCCTGTAAATCATAATTGAATTTACTCAAAAACTGTTGGAATCCGCGATATAATGTCAAGCATCGCGTTTATGGAGTAATAATTCATCTGTGTATAATTAAAGTGACATTACTAATTAAAATTTACGAGGCAGTTATTTAAAAGAGAAGTCTTTATTTGAGAATTGTATTATTGCATTCACGCTAGGAATGTTAACGTCTTTTGTCTGGTCCCATTTTTCGGCTTGAAAAGGATTTGTTTCGAATTCTTGAGCAAAGAAATAAAGGAAAAAGTTTAATTGCATTGTATTTTTTTACTAAAATAACTTAGTGAGTTTTTTGGACCCGAATTCATATTTTGACTTTATAATTAAGGTAAGTACAAGTGTAGTTTGTAATATGAGCGCCTTTTTCGATATTGGGCCACTAATTCAACATTCCTATTAAAATTGTTAAAATCACACTCCACTCCATCGAAAACATAACAAATGGAAATCTATTCTTATAGCGCATGGTGTGTTTTTTTATCTAGCAATAGTACCTATTTTAATCGCAAAACCTATGTTTTGCGATTAAAATTGTACGTTAGATACACGAGCGTTAGATTTAACCGGGGATTTAATAGCAGACACAAAAGTTCTAGTCAACTTTCAATTCTACTTGTCTATAAATATAATAAATCAGTGTAACAGACACAAAAATGTACCTGCTTTATAACACATAGTTTTATAGAAATATCGTCATTTTTTAAATCTTGATCAGATTTTTACCTCTAATATTCGAGGAAAATACCATTCGTGTTTATAACGAATACAAAATTATTACTAACCTCACCATAAAGCTAAAGACTATCTCCAATGAGTACAAATTTAAAAACCGCTTGTTTCACAGCTCCACAGCCAACACTACGAAAGTAAGCTTTCAACAATCATATTACCGAGGTCGAAATAAGTGAGTACGTACATATCCGTTCCATATCATTTAATAGTATTAACATATACCTAAATTATACCTTATATTTGCATTGAGATAATATCGATCGTTCTTGAATAAAAAACGCTATAACTATAATGCATTTATAAATACTTACCTTTTTCACAGGTACCTCGATTTCTTGAGAGGAATTTCTTTCACACATTTCTTCTCATATGTAAATCTATTATAATACTTTCCAACTCGAAGGTACAATAATACAAAAATAGTTTCCTTAAAACCCAATAGCTGTAGATACCTTAATAAATTTAACTACACAGCGTGTATAAAGCTACTAAATTTTATTACAAAGTAACATGACTTAAATACACCAAACTTACCTCATCTTGGAAAATTCTATGTAGGCTTTCTTTATTGTATTTCTGTTCATCCTGCTTCAATATAGCAGAACATTGCTTCAACAAAGAGACTCTTGTCTTCTCTTTCGCGCTTTCTTCTTCCATAAACGATTTTCTATGTCCGTTCCTAGATACTCCCAGTAAATCCTTTGTCGCATTTTGAATTCTGTCAAAACTGCTCGCATCTGCGCCATTTTCGTGACTGTGACTATCCGTTTCGTTCCTGTTAGTGCAATTATCTGGGCTAATTTTCCCGCCATCGGAGCTGTCAATTTTAATTTCAACGCTATCCGCCATCTTGGTGCACTCTTTTTTTAAATTGCATAATCTACATTATTTATCTGTTTTTATGCAGACTATAAATATTTTCGGTATAAGCTTAAACGGTATTTTCTGAGGTCTGTGATCAATCAATAATCACATCAAATACTTATAAGCTTAATCTTAATATTATTCACATTATGATTACATCGCGGATTATTCATAGTTGAAATAACTTTGGTGTTTCCGGTTTTAAACTGATTACCTACAGCAGATTGATTTCATAAAATTTTGCCTATTAATAGTATTATTAAATAGGCGGTAAAAGGACTATAATGAGCATGTATCCATATTTTTTTGTAACCACGAATGCCTAAAGGTATGTACACTCTAATAAAAGCAAAGATAATAAAAATTAAGAGAAAGTAGACTTTTTGGACAAACACGAGTTCAATTACTTAAAACTTGTTTAGGTAAATTAATTTAGATTAAATTAAGGCCATGTTTGGTGTGTTTAATTTTTTGAGATTTAATTTTTAGCTTTATCTATAGGGACAATTACAAACAAAAGGTTTTTAGTTTATTAAATAAATTATAACATTTTTTATTGCTAAAGAAATTGCAATTACGGTATATGATGATAAAGGTATTCTTTTGTATATATAGGCACGTACAACGTACACGTAGTAATAAGGCCATCAAATATTATTCAATTACAAATAATTGTGAAATTAAATATATTGAATGTGGACGACATTATTTGGTTTTGTTTTTTTATTTGGATTTTTTTGGGAATTTGTGCGTGTGTGTGCCTGTATTCATATTCTACTACTTAAAAAAGAGAATTTTACATTGTTTCTACAAAATAAAGCACTTACTGACCAGCCATTTAAATAATTTGGTTTTAGTAACTTTTTTATATTGATAGTAGCTAGTAGTACCTAATTACTGCACTTGCGCAGACTACGTAACGTAATGTAAAAAAAAGTAAAAACAATTTTTGTAATTCACTTAATAACACAGCATACGTATTTTTTATGATTTGCTTATTATAAAATAACTTAGATAAGTTTCGACTTAAGTAATCTAAGATTTTATAATAAATTATTTCACAGTGTTTTTACATTTTGGTGAACAATTTTGGCTCTTTTAAGCATTCACCATTAAAACCAATGATAAATATTATTACGTAAATGTCACTTTCACTTATAAAGCTTTATTGGCACACACGGGCAGTCTCACTGCAGCGTCTTTTATCACTAAACTTGTATAGTGTTGACGTTTCGTACGCCCTTTAGCTAAGTAAGAGCTTATAAGCTCTTAAGTCTAGAATTAAGTAATATGTGGTTCTTCAGTCACGTCTAAAACAAAGCTGTCATAATAACAATAATAAGGGCGAAGAAAAAAGGCCAAATATTTTGTTGCCATATGTTTTGTGATTGGTGATCCTACTCACTCTGTTCTGAAGGAAATAATATTAATGTATATAGCCTGAACTAACTTTAGACGGACTCATTGGCGTAATGTATAGCTTATAATCAACGCGTCGTGATTTCGGGGAGTTCGATCACCATAGGGACCAAATTTTTTTAAATCAATTTATAATTTTTCTGAAACATGTTGGACTTAGCCTAGAAATCTGGATATTAAATGATGGGATTCGCAATTCCATTCGGGTCACGAACCACTTACATGACAAAGCCGTAAAGTTTGAACGCGCTTCACTTTGTCTGTAGATTTTTGAAAATACAACTTAATAGGTGTATTATGAATTAACGATTTAGTTTTATCTTTACCGACAGCAACGATACTACAAACCAGGGCTCAATTACATACCATTTCATTAAACTTAAAATTGTATATATATCATTTTAATCTTTGTCTGATTTTTTCATTCGCGTGTTTAATGTAATCTATACTAATATATAAAGCTGAAGAGTTTGTTTGTTTGTTTGAATGCGTTAATCTCAGAAACTACGGGTTTGTATTGAAAAATTCTTTGTGTTTATTGGTACATTTATCGAGGAAGGCTTTAGGCTATAAAACATCGCGCTGTGACTAATAAAAGCGAAAATACAGCGTGAAAAGTGAACAAAACGGGGGAAATTTTTCATCTCCGTGGGTTTCAGTTGCGTACGCTGTAACTAAAAAATGTGGGAAATAATTTTTCCTCTTTAAATGATCTAAAAATATCTATCCATGACGCTATATGTCTATCTTTTACGATTCGCTTGCAAGAACGACGGGAAGGGACGCGATCGACGTCGTAGCTAACAGCTTAAGTTTATAAAGATGACGGGGTTTCCAAAACCTAATTTGGATGTCCAAAACAACGATTCTCGCGGACGAAGTCGCTGGCACAGCTAGTTCAATAATAAGACGGAATGCTATATGATAAATCTATCCTAATATATAAAGCTGAAGAGTTTGTTTGTTTGAACGCCCTAATCTCAGAAACTACGGGCTCGAATTGAAAATTCGATTTGTGTTGGTAAGAGCATTTATCGAGGAAGGCTATAAAACTTATATATATGCTATAAAACATTGTCCTGTGACTAATAGGAGCGAAGATACAGCGAGAAATGAAACAAAAATTGGAAAATTATTCATCATTATGGGTTTCCGAGGCGTACCCTGCAAAAACGGTTCAAGATACCCAAAAAATATGTATAAAATAATGATTTCTCTTTAAATGATCTAAAAAAAGTCCGCGACGTTATATGTCTATCTTCTAAGATTAACTTGCAAGAACGATTTAAGTCTATAAAGTTAACGGGGTTTGCTGAAACGAATTTGGATGTCCAAAATAAATATTCTTAGCGGACGAAGTCGCTGCAAAAGCTAGTTCTTAATATGCGTTTACGCCTTCTGTTCGGGCGAGACTTGTCTCGTCAATTCTTAGAAAATTAATACGAGTGTTTTATCGAGAACAAATCTAATTCGATAATTAATTCGATAATACGAATGCGAGTGTGAGCTGTCACTCAAAAGTGGCGTACATCCTAATTAAAATTTTATCTTATTTCAGATGTATAAACTTAAAATGAGATATCGTTACTTACTTTTCTAGTTATTGACTAGATGTGGGAGCTAAGTGCATAAGACAGAGGCAAACTAGCCTTCCGTTCTTATGCATATTACAATTCCACAATCAAGTCAAAATAAATTAGATCAATCACAATTCTAAAAACAATATTAAAAAAAAACAGGTTTATCTACTATTATTCAAAATTATATGTATTAATTACTTGAGGCACTTTCAGACTACGCTATAATATATAAGTATATCATATAATTTATAGCGCCCCTATTGAAAATAGCGGTGGGTGCATAATATGAAAAGAGTTCACTTAGAGTTAAATAATAAAACGAGAGACGGTTTCAGAATGATTTATACAAATATTGTTAGATTAATGTCTTATTATTGTCAGTTTGTCAGAAGTGTGTCAGTTTGTTAGAGGTTTTAAGTGAAACAGTTTTGTTCGATAGCTAGTCGTGCATTTTTTCTTGTAAAATCTTTCACTTGCTAGCTGCTGGTACGTTGTAAGGTAAACCAGCGCGAGGTTCTATAAACATTCAACGACATGCATTTTTCTAAAGCCTAACAAGTCAATAAAGTAGCTTAACACTCATATAGGAAGCCAAACCCTCACCACTGGGAATTGCTAAGTCTTGGATTACCTAAATAAAAATTGTATACCAATAAAACTTACTGACATCCTCTGTAAGACTAGCCCGCGGCTGCATTAAATCATCTCTAAGCAATGCATTACACAATATTTGGCAAGTCGGTCAAGTGTTCATGACTTGCTTACGATTTAATTCGATCATGTGTATAAGTAATAATGTCAATGTCATCTCCTTTAGAAATATTAACCGTTACATTCGTATTAATATCTTAAGATACATTTAATAATTAGTCTTTAGTTCTACATCTAATTTTATTTATCAATAACTATAACAGATACACTCATGCATAAGGCATAGACATCATTCATACGTGGCATTTGTCAAAATAAGGGTGCATCCTAATAAAATCCACAGATGATAAATAGATAAAATTTTATTTTAAATAACGTTAAAGTGTTTTATTTAGATAGAGGAACGTAGACAATCATGGCGAAATATCCCAGTCATATAACATCTTGACAAGATGTCCACCTATTTCTGCTTTGGATATTCGGAGCATATTATTGGCAAGGTAAGAACTCTTGGAGTTATTGAAGGTTCTAAGTCATCATAAATGGAATTAAATTTAAAACATCTCTTTTTATTTTAAATATTTTAATTCAAATAATATTTGATATCTAATTTTGTAACAATTATTCTAGATAACATATTTAGGAAGCAATAAATAATATTTTTACGTAAATAGATTTGTACTTCTATTTGTAATAAAACATAGCTCGACTACAAAAATATAACATTATGACAATACTACTCCACTATAATATTATTTACAAAACCGTTATATTTAATTTCGTATGATAGGAAACGTATTTTATTTGTAAAATAATTTATAAATACAAAATGGCGAAATAGAGGGAGGTTTTTAGTGAATTAAACCCAATAAGGTTTTAGTTTTATCTATATATTTATTGCTCGTTAAGAAGAGGTTCTACTTTTGAAACTTTCATATGTTTTAGTTGATAGTGGATTTGATGTGTGTTTAAAAATATATTTTCTGGAATTTATTGTTTTCAAACATTTTCTGACTAGACTATTATCCTCCTGAATTGATAGCTGTTCCCGCCCTTCTATTATTTCTTACAGTTTAACTTCTTGTCAAATACTCCTTGGCAATCGCTTTCCAGTCGGTCGGGTCATCATCAGGGTCGGGCTTCGATTTCCTCAACTTTTTAAGCAAGCCCCATCCATCTGCTTTCTCTGTGGATACGACGTAGTTATTCTTGGGGTCCTGCGCTATGGAGTAAGCCCCGAGGGTCAGACTCTGCACGAGACGGGCTGAGATCAGCGTCTGTAAATGACAAATATGATAAATAAAATGTATGATAATAGTACATTATGATATAAGTGCGGTAAGTTGAAAATTACAGTCTAGGCGATATTACTAGCCCGAGCCATCGGCGAGAGCTATAAGAAAGCAGAGGCTGTAATTTTCAAAGCGCACGTATGTCATACGACGTTTTATAACATATTTACGAGGAAATTAATAAAAACAATACAGCGAAAAGAAAAGGCGCGCGGAATTATTTTTATTTGTCCACAAATAAGCGATGCGCGCGCATCACCTTTTTTTTTAGGCAAAGGTACAAAAACAGCTAGTATTACTAATAAAGTAAATTAATATTTTTGTGTTTTTGTTACAGATGGTAATTTATGTAATTTATTTTCAAAATTAATTTAATTAAAGAATTACATTTTTATTTCCCAAAGTAAAAATAACAAATAGATTCATAAAATATTGACCACTTTCTTGACATAAAACCTCTTTGCTAAGATTTTTAAAAGTATCGTTCATTTTTAGTCGGAGTATCTTAATATTTTATTTAAAAAAACACGTGCCTTTTACATTACATTATCGCACAAGTACATAATGAGATACATTACGATATTGAAATTTGTGTAATTACAACTACTTTACGAGCAAATATGTTAAAAATGTAATAATTTAATCATAAGTAGACGTTTATCTGTATATGGAAATCTGTCCACGGGAAAATTCCTTCGATTTGGGCTAAAAAGTGTCTGTGTTAAATAGACAGGATTGTTTCACTGTTGAAATTACTATGTATATTGTTTGAAATCTTTTATATTTTCACATGATGGCACTATATAAATAAAAAAATAATCTGAGATTGAAACACGGGCAGGACTTAAAGCACTATCCACAGCGTTCCGTTCTCCAACCAATTGAGTTACCGTGTCTACATGAAGCTCCACGGTTGTCCACGGAGGATGTCCATCTATCTTTTAATCAGTATTTTATTAGACTGTAATATACTTTTGAATTGAGAAAGAAGAAGAACAAACTTGAAGAAGTATACACGAATATACATAGAAGTATATTCGTGACTCAAAGATGAAAATAAAGATATTTTTATTGTCAAAACCTCCTGTCATATTTTATGACTTACCTTCAGTAGTCTGTATTCATCGTCAGGTAACCGCCTGTTGACGGTGTATCCTGCTAACACGAAGCCTCCGGTGCGAGGGTCTCCAGTCAGCAGCATCATATAAGTCATAGTGATGGCCAGCTCGAAAACATAGTACGAATTTTGGATGTCACCGAAGTCGATAATACCGGAAACACGATAATCCGTTTTACTGCGAAAAAGATAGATAGAAATTGATTTAATAATCGAAAATAAATTGAAAAAAATTTCGACTCGGGCAGGACTTGAACCGGCATCGTCAGCGTTTCGTGCTGTTGCTCTACCAATTGAGCTACCGAGTTGATAGAAATTATTTAGGAATTACGGCGTTCTACTCTGAAAAATTGGCTCTATGGTTAAGTGGTGGTATACGCAATATTTTAGTGATTCTCAAACTTTTAAATGTATACTTGTGAAGTTTAGAGGTGATATGTTATTGACACTCCATAACCATTATAGTCTTATTTGATTAGATAACACGAATTCCGATTATATATGTAGTCCATTGTTAGTACAGTCTGTGTCAACGTAAAATTTTAACATCGAATATTAGAGAGGATACAGTCATTTACAAACAGTCTATAGAAATTCTTAATACTATATGTGTTAATACACAAAATAGAGAAGATAAGCCAAGGAAACAGAAAAAAGCCTTGGCTAACCTCAGAACTACTCCATCTAGTATCTGACTGCACACTCTCAGTATTTTTGGAGTCACTTTCCTACATAAGCCAATTCGATTATTTTTAGTAAATATATTTTTTCGACCTACATTTTTTACTTATACTGCAACATGTAAGTTACAATTTTCTTTTTTTTCATTTTGTAGGAGCGAATTTTCCAATTTACGGTTCTATTGATATCCTTTTATATGTAAATAAATTTAAATAAATCACTTTATAATACAAACGCGATATATATTAGTAACTAATCGACGGCTCGACGTTTCGGATGATCACGGCGAGACGTCGAAACATCGGGCCGTAGTTAAATAATTTTCAAATAAGTTTAACGAATATATATTGCGTTTTAAACCGTTAAAGTGTTTTATTTATTTATTTTTTTTAAATCTTTATTTAGTAGGCTTTAACCTAACTAGGTTATGTCGCCCAATGATACAAAATTTACAATTACAATACCGAATTAATAAAATATCTACACTCTAAACATATCTACATAGCCTTATGATATAAGTTTAGTAGCATCCTAGCCTCCCCCGAAAATGGAAAGGCTAAGACACTACCATACCACCCAACATTTTTAAAACAGATAGATTTACTAACCAATTGTCTATATGCCGCATTCCGTACACATTCCGACAAAACATGAGTGAGGTCTTCCACAACGTTACAATCTGTGCAATCAGGACTAGTGTTTTATTTAAATGTGCACTACTCGCGTATACTACAGACAGTAGGTAATTAAATTGTAAAGCTTCGTAAAAACACTATCGAAGCAAATACCGGAGTATGCGGCTTTGCATGAAATTACCTGCCAGGCGTCTTAGGTGTAACCAAAACATTCATCTCGTTTACATCGCCGTGAATAACTCCCTTTTCCAGCTCATCTAGGCGGGGGACTATGGCATATTTGAACTCTTCGATAACCTGGAATGGAATGGAAGATTACAAAAAAATCTCATTAAAGAAATAATAATGTATGGCTACTAAACAACGGTTCGATCCCCGTCAAGTCCAACATAGTCTATTGTTTTTTCAGAAATAAATGTGTTGGTCTTCGCCTGGTAAGCTGGATAATCAATGGGCGGTAGGAATATCGTCTATTACTACTGTCCACAGATGACATAGCCGTGACGTTTATCCGTGTTTCAGTTTCAGGTGTGTTTCAGAATATCCATAGCTAAAACAGGTCGACAGTGTATCTGGTTTAGATGTTATCTTGCTGGGGTATGTCATCTACCATAGAGTGAACACAGCGCTTGTCCTTCTCTATCATAAAACAACTTAATATACACACACATACATAACTGAATAATAATATTATCGCGTATTTAAATTTTCTAATTTTGTAATAAATACACTACAATCTTCATTTCGATATAATTTAAAAAATCGAACCTCATTAAAATCGGCTTAGTGTTTGAAGCAATAGAGTGGAACAATTAACACACATTTGTACATAAACTGGAAAATGATAATTTGTAGATATGCTACTACTTTTGTCTTCGTCACAACAACAATTAAACAATTTCAATTTCACAGATGTAACATAACACACACACAGATTAACATACAAATTAATAAATTAATCACCTCTTCAACCAAGTCCAATTTTTCCGCATCCTTAATGACATACTTGAATTTCTCTAATTCTGGAACCTTGGTCAGCATCCAGATGTGTTCGCGAGAAACCAGTCCTGAGTGGTTGAAGTTCTGGAAAATATATTACTTAAGAAACCTTGTACAGAACCATTGACAGTACTTAATATTTATTACCCATTCTTTAGTTTACGTTAATTTATTATTGGAACGACAAAACAATATTTTGAAATCACAAACGTTTAATTCTGTCTATAGTTTACGCGAGTAGTACACAAAAACGCGATATATTATTTAAACTTATTTGAAAATGATTTTTAACTTCGGCCCGACGTTTCGGATGCTTTGCAGCAGCCGTGGTCACGGGGATCGCGTTTTAAACCGTTAAAGTGTTTTATTTAAATCACAAACGTTAGTTTCTCAAGATTAAAATGGGAAGCCTTATAAACACAATACATATAGAAATTAAAATTAACAAAGACCTTCATAAATTAAGTACTAAGAATAAGATTAATACGATTATCTAAACTAATATTGTAAAGCTAAAAAGTTTGTTTGTTCGTTTGTACGTTTGTTGAACGCGCTTGTCTCAGAAACTACTGGTTCGAACTTTTTTATTTTTTTTGTGTTAGCTAAATCATTTATCGAAAAATGCGTAAGGCTATAAAACATAAACCTGCAACTAATAGGAGAAACTGACAGACGAATTTGAAAATAAACAATGAAATGCACGCAAACGTAGTCGCGGACACAGCTAGATTACCAAGTAAAATTCGTAGTTAGTAGTTTAGTATAAGTACCTGTAGCTTATTATCCAAATTGGCGACAAACTCTCCTAGCTGATAGAACAGAGCTTCAGACTTCGGGACGTCCTTCAAAAGTTCTCCAGGGACGTATTCCAGAAGACGAACAGCATGGTGCTTCCCACCAATGTTTTCTATGGAGTGCAGGTGGCCAAAAACATTACGAATTGGCTTTGGACAGGTTACGGAACGGGTCACTAAGGGAGAGGAAAGATTTTCGATTAATTAATTAATTAAGCTAAAAGTGACAGCACTCTTACTAGTTACTTATCATAGTTTTCTATAGCGTAGTCATTATAGTATTAATTGTTTTCCTTTGAAATACCTACTAATTAAATGGAAGGGCTATTTTATATGAATATTTTGTGGCTTTAACTTAGTAGGTACAAATGCTGGAAAAGAATAGACGTAATTACAATAAAAATTAACATAAGCAGATTAAATTTAATTAGAAGAAATAATGCTTACTAAGCATTGCTTGCTTTAGCATTATTGTTTTTTTCCCTCTAAATGTATGCGTAGACAAGATGGTAGCTTGCTAGTTATCTTGTACATATTTTTATTAAATAAACTTAGTTAATTAGATGTTATGTAAACTGAAGATACAAGAACAGTGTGTAAATAAATGTAATTGTTAAATAAAAATAAAAAACGCCAACTTTCTCGATCAACATAAGTTGCAGTATAGTTGTGACTTGTGCTAAATCACTTATGTATTATTGGGATATACTTATAAAACATTTCGCAGATAATATTAAAATTAATATAACGAATGTTTTCGTTATGATTTAAAATGAGTTAGACAAACAAACTGACACTAAGTAAAGTTTTTTGCAAAATTACTTTGTACTTTATGTACCTACTTACTTACAGTTGATTACATAATTTTCTGAATTACATGATTCGTTAAGTTATGGTAATGATTGATATAGACCAAAGAACAATGGTCATATCGTACCTGAGAGCCATACAAAAACGGTATTTTTATTCTAGGAAATAATAGTAATAACTCATAATTAAAGCCTGGAATTTTTTTTTTAAATATATTTTTTTATCTGTTTTTTCAGAAAGTATCGTTAAAGTTCGCATATCAAATTTATCGTTAAATAACAACTAATATACAATATATTTATTTATTTTTATATGTAAAGAGCATGTAAGAGTGTTTTGATCATTTGCATGTAACCGGAAAGAATTTGTCATCGACGTGCTATCAATTCACATAAAACAGATAGACGTAGATCTATCTGATCACTGACACATAACTGACAGTTGTGATTGCCTTTCTTTGGATTCGTATTAGGTTTGAAAATTTCTTTAAATACCCTCCCATAAACTCATTCTGCTTTTTACATGACATTCTGATTTTTTCTATTTGTATTCCATTCTCTTTAAAAGATCTAAAATAAATCCGGGACACTATATGACTGTCTTTTAAGAAACTTTTTAAGTTGCAAGAACAATAAGACGCGACTGAAGTCGCGGGTAACAGCTTAAACTTTATAAAGATGAAGAAGAGGTTTGCAAAAACAAAGTTGGATGTCCAATATAACTATTCTAAGACGAAGTCGCTGACACAGCTAATTATAAATAAGACACTATCGTTATTAAACATTGCAGTCGAGGTCGACATTTTTAACAAACAAACTATTCAATTGAACATTTTAAATACTTAGAATAAATATGACGACAATAGTATTGTATTTTGCATACGTTAAGCCTTACGTATGCATTGTTAAGAGCGAGGCGAATGCACTGATTAGGCCAGTAAATTCATGGTCAGATTCATTTATATGAAATAAACGGAAGAGTTTAAAAGTTTTGGCAATTGACACGAGTTCAAAAGCGATGCTTCCTTGTTATTAAATTTGGGAAAAAAAGATTTTTTCTAAAAGGTACAATGATTTTTTCAAAAAAGGAACAACATTTTAAAGTTTTTTTACTATTTCACGGCTAAGAACACGGCTTGTTGTTTACAGGATAACTGATTCTGCCGTGTCTGTATTTTACGAACCTCACTATTATTATATTAAATGATCTAGACTCAAATAAACTGTACACACACAGAAAACACCATGCAATTCAAAGGTACCTATGTGTCAATGTGTGTGTAATGTATAAAGGAAAAAAAATAATACTTACACAGGAAATTCATAATCTCATTTTGCGCTTCCACCAAGCTGACATTTTGAGAGTCCATAGAGTTCATAATCTTCAGGACATACCCGTGAGAAGAATGGTTGGTGATGAGTGGATTCTTCACGTTGGGGTCTTCTACGATTTTGTAGTTTTTGTCATCGTAACCGTTCAGTTCGATTAGTTCCAGCACAGAGATGCCGTAGAGCCTCTCAACCAGAAGTTTGACCCCATCCTGATCTATTATAGGCTTTATCACTGTTCCCGGTTGTAATATTTTCGCTTCTCCGGACATTTTTCTGTAATAACGATACTTTATAAGGATCAAACTTAGATAATCTACCTTTGTGTAATAGAGGAGGGCAAACGGTCATAGGGTTCATCGTAAGTGAAATACCCCAGGCATATAACATCTTACTAGATGCGCTGTTAGCCTATTTTGGATATATTTAATAATCCACAGACTGATACTGAAAGGCTATTAAACTTCACGGCTTTTTCATCAATCTTGCCCTGGTTAAAATCTCCTATCCTTTGTTTGTACGCGTTCATTAAGATAAATATTAAATTTACATACTTATTATTTCGTTTAAATCTATGCTTTAAAAGTATTGTGAGGATAATACGTTTTAATAAGAATATCAGTTTTAGACGATGTTTTCCAAAAAAATGTTATTGGAAAACTACTGCAAAATAACTCTAAAATAGATATTTCCTTTATCTTAGATACCGGCACAATATCAAGATAAGAACCGCGCCCTCTAGCGTAAGTAAAGTCATACATTCATCACATGATGCGCGAGAGACGAAAAACTTAAGATTGTAATGTCGCTTGTTTATTTTCTATATCTTAAAGAATATTTATTATTCTTTGTATGTAACTTTTATATTATGGAACGTAGATCATCTAGAATAAACTAGGTATATTTGTGTTTATTTATAATATTTTAAAATTTAATTGCTAAAATACTTATTTATAGTTATTTTTATAATGTATTTTAATTAGATTATATCAATAATAGTAAATATTTATTGCAATTAATTGTTATTAGTTCATAAAGTTTACGAAATCACTAACAGAATATGCGGTTATACAAAAAAAACACTCACCACACAATCCTCTTGTCACTCAGAAGTTCCGAGATGAACTGATATAGGCACAGTAAGGATACAACTAAACAAATTCATTACACCACTTGACTGATAAACGTGATGTTATCACATATACAGTGGCTATTGCTCCTTCCATAGCTTTTTGAATTACTCATCACGAAAGATCAAAGTACTATCTTAGCCAAGTTTATTACTGAAATCAAGAATTTAAAAATCGAATGAATTATTTGTATTCTTGAAAAGCAGTTTAGTCCGTTTTTTTAAATAATATTGGATTACAAGTCTAAACTTTAAATTGTTTTAAAGTTGAACTGTAACTGCGAGAAACATTTGTAATAGGGTTGTTATTTAAAATCTGTGAAAGTTTTTAAGTCAGTAGATACGCAAGGAATAGGTACAAGTTTAAATAAAACATTTTACGAAATAAAATGCGAAATTTATTAGTTTACTTATTTACAATTCAATTTAACTATGCCCTATGGTCACGCAGGTCACATTCGTGAATTTAAGTTCACTTCTAATAATTTCGAAGGGACTTAACTAATATATGCCCTTTACAAGATGAATTCCTGTTAAGAAAGTGCTTAAAAAGAATAAGCACTTTTTTGTTTCGAGAGCAGAGTGGCTATTGCAACACGTAATTGTGCCCATCATTGTCACATAGAACACACTCGTGACGGTTCACTTTACGCAACAGTATTTTATAGTTCAATACACTTTGAATTCATATAAATTGATCTAGAATCATTTAAAAAAAACATATAATATGAAGTTTAGGAACTTCATTAGTAAATTAGTGCATTGATATTGTATTTGTACTTTTAAGTAAGCAAATAATTAATTAGTCAATGCCTGTTAAAATAACAAATTTAAACAAATATCCTATTCATCACTTAAAGTGCCTATACTAATACAGTGCTCACGAATGGATTTGATTCACACGATGTATTCAAAATGTTCACAATTTCGAAGAGTTGCAAATTTTTTATTTTGTATGTAGACATCATCCCTTAATGCATATTGTTTGTATATCTTCAACGGTTTTCGCAGCATACGCATCGGAAACTCAGAGAGATGAATAAATTTTCCCGTTCTTACCACATTTCCCGATGTTTCTTACATTCGTACGTTTCATAAATTCTACAAGACAAAGAGAATTTTTCAATTTAAACCAGTAGTTTTCGAGATTACCGCGTTCAAACAAACAAGCAAACCCTTCCTTAACTAATTGAGCTACTGCCTTAAATGCATAGATTATATTTCAAACTGTTTTAATAAGATTATGTTATCTATTCTGTTCTGTTTTCTGGTCCGACGACCTAGTCAAGGTAGCAGGGAAACGCAGGATTCAACTAGCGAACGACCGGTGGTACTGGAGTCTATGGGAGGCCTATGTCCAGCAGTGGACACTGAACGGCTGAATCGTATGTTTTCTATAAAGTACACAAACTTATGAGTTTCAAGAAGTGCAAAAATATGTTTTCTTAGAGTGACGTCTTCTTAAAATATGTTTGTCTTTCATCTATGTAAATGTTATCAAAACGATTTATCTCTTCTTATCAGCCATCAACCTACAGTATTTCTCAATAAGATGCTGTGAAATTATTACAACTTCATATGGAAGTGAAGTAATGTTTTGTTAATAATAAAATGTGTAATTTATTGTACGGTTAATAAATCTATACTTTACTATTATATCGTTCAAGAGTTTGTTTGTGTAGTTAAACGCGCTAAACTGGAACTACTAGTTCAAATTTAAAATCTTTTTGGGTTGGTTTTCGCAGCATTATCGAAGTAGGCTTCCTTCGCGGCGCTGCACAATCGGTTCGAGATACCCAAAAATGTGTACGAGAAATGATTCCTCTGTAAAATATCTAAAAAAATACTGTCACAGACCTCTGTTACAGTATATGTCTATCACAAGGACGACATGACGCGAACGACGTTGTGGGTAACAACTATAGTTTATAAAGATGAGAAGGTTTACGAAACAAATTTTAAGCCCAAAATAACTGTTCTAAGGTTGAAAGAGACAGACATACCGTACCGTACATACCTACACTAACTAATACACCGTCACTTTTGAAAATATGCCCTGATTTGACGTTGTTCACATTATACCATTACTCTACTAGCGCCAAGGTGTTCCGACGGGAAAGATGGGAACTAGTTTTGTCTAAATGTTTGCTTACGTCACGACCTACAACGCACTAGCTAGTTCTTCGATTCGCGGCATACTTTGACAATAATAACCCATAATATGGCGTCAACAATATGATGTAAATCTTTAAATATTTTAATTCCTCTGATCATTAGTTAAGTAATACCTAATTCCCTACCGATTCTAAACATATCTTTAGACTAGATGTGGCGGCGTCTTCCGCGTAGATTAGTTATTCGGACATCAAAATTTGGTTTATGCAAACCTCGCCTTCAACTTTTCTGATTGACATTAGTGTTACGGACTGTCTAAAAAAATTTAGATTATTTAAAGAGAAATCTTTCTTTTATGCTCTTACCAACGTAAATAGTCATTTCCAATTCAATTCCTTCTAGTAGTTCTTCAGATTAGCGCGTTAAAAGAAACAAACAAACAAACTCTTCAGCTTTTTATATTAGTATAGATCAATCAATCAATTAGGAACTCTTGGCCAGAGCAACAATTGTCTATACCTACATACAAACTTTCTCGTTTATGATATTATTAAGATGTGGCTTGCCCCCTTGGATATTATATTTCACTGACTTTCTATCATATTTTCCACGTGGTTGATCGACCTTTTATCAAGAAGTGATAATATGGACACAAAGTGATTGATTTCTTATGAGAAGCAACGAGGACAAATGTTATATCTACATACACTAACGCAAAAACATGTATCGTAATTACACTTGCATAACATGAAAAGGGTTTAAGAGTAAATTTGAATTATTTAATAGAAACCTTATTGATTGAAATGAAGATGAATTGAGGGCGCTAGAGGCAGAGTAGCCTAACTGTAGTTTTATGACTTGAGTTATTTATATTTTCAAAGTCTAAAAATGTTACACACAAGATCACACTGACTGAAAATTGTTAATATAATTCTTACACACACAATAATACGAATTTATTTCCGCCTAAGTGAATTGCGCTTTCTTATTTTTTTTTATTGGAAAACATATTTTTTTAATATTAGGCTAAGTACTCTGCCTTTAGAAGTCTTATGTTGTGTAGAAAAGTGTGTAAAGACTTAACGTATCTGCCATTATATTATACCTTTTATACGTACCATGCAATTATTGCTTTTACATTTACAAATATACTTAAATAAATATTTTACATAAAATCGAAACCACAAAATACACATTATTATTTATTTACTATATTTATCGCCCTCTGTAGTTTAGAATAAACATTACTAATAAATCTTACTCCTATACATTTAATGTGTTTATCTCTTTATTCATAGATGGCGCGATAAAACATATTATTTTGCTACTTGACAATAGATGGCGTACTAAGTAGTAATATGATATAATAAACATTGTTTAAATAATAGCACGATTGTATAAAATAAAGTATGTAAGTATGACATGTTGTTCATTATAATGTTCTTTAACATGATTTTAGATAAACCGATTTACGTTGACAAGGCATTTGTGGCAGATAGTAAAACAGAATTACAATTATAAGAATTATTATATATTCTTAATTTAGAAAGCTGTGCAATTACTTTAGAGACTTTAGTTAGCGAGACTACGCCGGCTAGCCCTTTTATTAGCGTAGTAGATTAAAGCCTCATAACAATATTGAGGAACTTATTAGACTGATGGTAACACTATATAGTCCTTCTCTATTATTTAAAAAATTAGTTTGGTTCTAAATAAAAAGTATGTTACACATATTAGTTAGCTGAGACTAGTAGAATTTTCCCTATTTATTAAATTCGCTCTTGATAGAGCCTGCCTCCATCCAGATCTGCCACTCAATTAAAAGAACAAAGTGGTTCAATTAGACAAGCGACGCCCGATGTGTTAATTAGTTTAGAATGGAATGCGACACTAATCTGTGGCACGCGGCCTTCACAGACTATCAAGTCTGTTCATATTAGGGGCATGAAAACGCAGCGTTTTTACGAGTTCAAAAATATTGTACCCTCTTTTTTACTTTATTAGCTTATGTAGAGAAATCGCGGTCAG